TTTCCTAAAAGGCAGAAAATTCAGCTCATTTTTTTCAGAATCGCCTTTTGTCTTCAGAATCGCCTGTCGGAAAATCATGAAACCGAAACTGCCCGAACCAAATTACTCCACTAGACATGCTTTGATTTACCCAAATTACCTAAATACATTTTCATATATGTCTTGGTTTGCCCAAACTATCCCACCACATTTCTTGGTTTAAGTAGTTTAAGTTTTGCCAATAATTATCCCAACAAGTTTCTTTGCTTGTACAAACTATCCCAATGCATTTCTTTGTTTAGCCAAGCTATCCCAGTAGAGTTTTTGTTTCACCCAAACTATTTCATGTGCCTATCCTCAGCTGTCACACACCGGCTTGTTGCAATTGCAAGAGTTTGCTCTGGCATAAACATGTTTGAACTTGGCCTTGGATGGGCTTCAACTGGAACATGCTCCGGCCCCAATGGGAAATAATGCATAAACAACGTTGGTCGCGTAAAGTTGCCTTTAAATTGCGAAAAGTCGCCGCTGGGTCAGGAAAAGTCGCCCGCTCCGTTTTTTCTTTTGATGGTTACAAACTTCCAGGCAGCAAAACCCAATTCACAGGCATCAACCTATTCAACTAGTTTTCGAATCTTGCGGGAGGAGATCGAAATGACCAGGCTGACCTAATTTATATGGGGGACCTAATGCCCTGAATTGGCCACAGCCCAAAATAAAGGAGGTTGGCACTGAAGGTAAGAGTTAAAAAGAATTAACTCAATGGTTTATTGTTGTGGTCTGGTGGCTTGCGCAAAGTCACATGACCCCAGCAATTGAAACGAGGTTTAATTGCACGGTTTCTGTTGCATGTTTCAGCTGCATGGGTTACCCTCAACGACATCGTCGACAATTGAACCAAGATTTAATTGACTTCCTATTCCTTTAATGGATTCCACTCACTCAATGCTGCTGGTCCGCGTGCCCCAAGAATTAAATCCAGATTTAATTCTCCAGAACCCATTGGCTGCCAGCCTCCCCGTCGCCACAATTCTGACAAGGCACTCGCATCTCCACTCTACCAGCCAGGAATCAAACATAATAGCAATCGAAAATAATTACGTTCAATAGGTCAACCATGCGCATGAAAGAATTTTCGAATCAGATGGTGGGTTCTCAAGGGCAGCAGACGCCGCCGTATAATAGCCTTGAATGAAACTCCCAACGAAAAATTAAATCTGGATTTAATTGTCCTGTATCAGCCGTGAACGCAGATTTTTCTCAGCGAAGGGCAGGTTACACTAGCTAGAGTCTGGCTCGGTTGCGTCGAAGTGTCTGTCCATGAAACATGCCAAAACCACCTGGCTGCCCCAAAGGGACTCATGGATGATGCTGGGCGGCTCGATGATTCGGATGTACTCCTCTGGCTTGTCAGAGACGGTGTCCGTGACCAGATGAATTGGACGTCTTAACAAGTGAGCCGCACCCAGCAGTGACAGCTCGTCCCCCCAGCTTCCTGACTTGGCCAGGTTGGAGCAGTATGAATCATACCTGCCAGCAAATTGCCCCTGGATTCGATCTTGAAAGAAACGGGCCAGTGGCCGTAGATATTGAACCACAAAGCTCCTCATCTCCATTGCACTCATCGGAACATCTGCAGAGTAGACCAAAGCATCAAATTGGCAGTTCCCTTCGGCAGGGACAGGGACACGACGAAGACCCAAAAGCCGCAACCTGGCGTCGACCCGTCGGCAGCTCTCTTGCATGCGGGCAGACAACTCTTCATTCTCTGTCTGCGACAATTGGATGGCAAGGTCCAACTGCGCCTTTTCCCAGGATTCCATGGCGCTTTGCGCCGGCTCCTTCACGGATTCAAAGAGCGTCAAACTCCATTTGGGCGAACTTGCGATCTGATGGTGGTGGAAGCAAAAAGCGCCATGAGATCTCTTGCGTCTGCAGCGCTTGCCGCTGTTGGTTGCGGCCATGCACATAGACTCTTTTTCCTGCCCAACGGAATCCAAAATAGGGAGCTCCTTTCCTTCCACCAAACCACCTGGTAGAAGCTCTTGGGTTTGGGAATTCATCGGAACAACTTCTACTGCTTCAGCGCCTGCAACGCCAGAGGACAATGCCTCAGGAGCTCTCAGCATTGCTTTCATCTTGGCTGATCTCTTGGCCTGCGGCCGCTTCTTTGCTCTTTTCTTGGCAGCAGCTGACAACGTCCCCAGGGGTATGGGCTGGGATGTTTCCTTCGCAAGGAGAGCCCGGATGAACAAGCAATGCTCACTCCATCCTGCACCCGAAACAAAATGCTTATGACCTTCGTACAGCTGGTTCTCCGTCGACACCCAAACGGTGCAATAGTTTTCTCTGAGATGCAGATGGCGCAGGCAATCATAAGCACCTGGCCATAGGACAGTGGGATGACATATTTCCCTTTATCAAAAACGAGCAGGTACAGTAGGGAATGCTGCTGATTAGAAGGAAAACCGATTGGGCGAGCAAACGTCATAGCTATTAGATACTCCGTATACGATGACACATAAAGCCGTTCCTGCCATGAGTATCCCACATAAATCAAAAGGTATTGGAAAAGACACAATTCTTTAATAAACGGATGAAGGATAATCACAAGATGATATGTTGCCTATCACAATAACAGAGGTCAATCCTAAATGGCCCACCAGACCTGTCTGAAGCGAAGCAGCTGCGCGGGCCACTTCCTCCTCAGAGGTCGCAAGAGCTAAACGCAAGGCGCTGGCCATTTCCTGCTTTCTCTTGGCTGCGTGCTGCAGCGAATATTTCGGCAAGACGTACACCAAGCGGGCAGAGCAGCCGTTCTGAAGAGCCAGGGAGCACACAGAGGCAATAAATGTCCCGGTTGGCCCATGACGCCTGAAATGCTTCAGAATTGCTTCTAAATCCAGACGCTTTCGTTGCACTAACTGAGGCTCGTCGTCCGAATCAAGGCTGTCCACATCCTGCAACTGAGCTTTGTCAGACACCTGAAGACTTTGCCAAGGCTGGGCCACCTTGGCCAGCATCTTGTCATAGTCCCCGTTCCGCAACTTGGAAGTAAGGGCAGCAGCCACATCCAGAATAACAGAGGCAGGATCTTTTTGGCGCATCCTGCGCTGCAAAAGATAAAACAATCCAATACCCGGGAAAACCACAAACGAAAAAAATTGCCCCACAACAAACATTTTGCCACCACGGTCCCTGGCTTGAGAAGACCTTTGATAGTCCGCCAGGCGCGTTCTTGGGCGTTGGAGCTGTAAGTAGTGAAACCAAAAGGAACAATGCCCAAACCTGTCCGCCAAGCCGCCGTAAAGCCATCAGGGCCTTCTTGCAGGAGGTTTTCCTGAATGTAGAGCGCCATGTCTGGTTCGTGCCAATCGGACTCTTTTTCTGTGCCTCGAAGTCTAGAGATCACAGACGACCAAAAGACGTTGAATTCCAAAGAGCTCGGCAAAAATGCTGACTGCAAAAGGAATGCAACCAGGACATTCAGGAACTCATCATTCCGAAGACGTCTTTCACCACAAGAGGGACATCTTTTCCTCGCCGCCTGCCGCAGATTCATTTTGCTGTGCTGAAGACAACGGTGAAGCCGGATACGTTTCCAGTCCTCATTCGCCTGACAGGGGAAACTTTCAGATTACATTGGTACATACTCAGAACAAACACAGTTGCCATGCTAAACATTATGTAACCACTTTTCAATGCTTCTGCCTCTACCAGGTCCTGCAAACTCTCAAAGCAAAAGCAATCCGCAAAACCGTCTGTCACAGAAATCTCATGCTCCTTCATGAGCTGCATGTACTGCTTAAAGAGATCTTGATGGGCCTCACGGTCCTCTGATTTGGCAACCATGAGTAACAGTGGCAGCATGCGTACATGAGGACGGTGTTTCGGAGCTTCTACCAAACCAAGGGGGCCTATGCCTCCAAGAGCTAGACCATGTTGCCCAATGCCGAACGTGAAGTCCATGCAAAAGGAAGACAAGTGCTTGTTGCCTTCAAGCCACTTTTTCATGGGCGCTGCGAAGAAACCAATGCGCACCTGCTCCGAGGTGCACACAGCACCGGGACAGATTGCAATCTGTTCAGGCGGCTTGGCAATAAAGTCTTGGAATGAGCCGATGCAATCAGCAATCACCTTCATTTGCAAATCTTTCTGCTTGGGTCTGTAGTTGCTGATCAAGTATGCCGGGGGTCTGTGCTTGCTTTTCCATCAAAAGAAGGGCACCGCCTGGAGTTGCTTCTTGAGCAAACTTCTTGGCATGCTTTCTACGCATGACCTGCTCGTTCTTCTCTTCCACATGGTCACCCAACTGTTGCACCTCCATCTGGCTATCAGAAGAAGCATAGCTGAAAATCCATTCCTTGGTGCAACTCTTGCATTCGATGCACTTGGCAATATATGTCCTTCTGCCCTGGAAACTGGATGTGCTCAAAGGTGAGTGAGTGTGACCTTTGACTTCCAACCACTTGCCGGCAGCTTCACGGCGAGTTCCTTGCAACTCGACAACCTCACATGGCTGCCACTGCTTTCGTTTCCGCCCTCGCTAAGACATTGAGCCGCAGCCACTGCCAAAGCAAACAATGTCCCCAAGCCCCTGAAAACTCCAAGGTTCTCTCCTAAACTAAGGAGCTACTAGCTGATCCCTGGCATCCTGTATGACAATGGTCAATCACACGAGAAAAACAACTAAATCCTGAGTTAATTGGGGAAGCACGTGGATCAGAAGCTCATTGCAAAAATTAAATCCAGATTAAATTGGTATGTGAAGGGCATGAGAACATCATCGAAACAATTAAAACCAGATTCAATTGGATACAGTGGTGACTAGAAAAAGACAGCTTACCCCCTGGTCCAACGCAAATGTGGATTTAATAGGAATGAGACTGTAGGTCATATGGAAACAATTAAAACTGAAGTTAATTGTTGTTGGGACAGTGGAAAGGCTCTCAGTCTTGCATCAATTAACTCAGGAGCCAATTGAAATTGACTCCTACCTTGATTCTTTTTCATGCATATGGGAAACTAAGGATATATACATTCCAGGCAAGAAAGTGTGGGCTGTGCTACTGCCCTGTTTTGTTGTCAAACGGTTGTGCAGTTTGGCGAAGTTTTTCAAACAAGTAAACCCAGTTTCACCCATAGATCTGAGGGAATTTGGTGAAAAGATTGCCTTATCTTTGGATTGGGATATGTATATATATATATTTAGTCTAGAAAACATTGAGATACATGGAGAGATTTCTGCCACCATCAAAAAGGTGGCCCTAATTACTTGAAATCGCAAAAGTCGCCCGTGGTCGCGTAAAATCGCCTTTTAACAACAAAAGGCCGAACACCCTCAAAAGGCAGAAATTATGCACACCGGGGAAGATGTAGGTATGCATCATATATTTATGGCATATTAGTGGCATTCATATGTGGCATTAATATAAGTTTGACATTAACATGTTGCCTGTGACATTTTGACACCATGGTCCAGGTGGCCCTGTGTTTAGCCCCGTCCTGTTTCTTCATGAGCAGCACACCGAAGATAATCTTCGCAAAGTCGCGCAGGTTGAAGGTATAATGAACCTGCCGAAGTCTGCCGGGCACTGGCAACCTATGGATCCCTATGGCATAGCCGGTGATGACCATTCATGAACATCCAAGGCAGAGACGAGACTTGGTTCCCATGGGTCCCATGACATGCTTCCCAGTAAAATGGTTTTAATATGTGTTGATATGTTTTAATATTTCTATCGAAGGTTTCTGCGAAGATCTATTCTGTCGCACATTCGTCTTTTTGGCTTCGGGAAGCATCGAACTTTGAGCTTGGAGCTGGAACTGTCACGTGCTTTTGTGAATTCAGTGGGCAAAAACGCCCGGAACCGGGATGGAGGAACTAGGAATGGGCACATCTCTATCAGCTCGCATTCACGAGACAAGAATTGGCACGCTCTTTAGTTTCTGACAATGGCTGAGGCAATGCCTGGTAAATCTCAAGAATTGGGCCTGAACAATGAACAAGGTCCTGTCTCATTCCTCCGAAATCGTAACTCTTCTCTCTGTACTAGAAGAAATTTATGTGGCTGCCTGTGGCTCGTTTTGCGTGTCAGCAGTCCCTTCTGAAATCCTGAAATTGGTCTGAATTCATCCGAGAAATGTCTTGGTCTTAGGGACTTCCCCCATCCTGCTACACCCAAACATGTATCAACTTAGATATATAATGATATATATATAATATACGGTGTCTTCCACGCTTGAGCCACTGCTGGTCTGCTCAGGATGAACTGCTGGATCAGTATCCCAAACTATCCCAAACTGCTCACATAACCTGACATTCAAAGAGAAAATTCAAATTAGATTCACTAGATCTAGATTTGGTATCTAGATGTAGTCTTTCCAACACAAAGCGGCTGCTATGATTCTCCTAGAAATGCTATGACTAGACTCTCGTCAGAGAAGTTTCTATGATTATTCTCCTCGCAGCAGTATTCATCCGGCAAGCTGCCCTCCGTCTGATCTTGCGCATGGAAATGTAGGAAGAACATGTCTCATTCACGTTGGATAGTCAAATTGTCAAACTAAATGTGTTAAACAAAAAATATACATTGCACTGCATTGCATTGCATTACCTCATTCCTGCACTGTTTGACGTGTCCGTTTACATTTGCGTTTGCCATTTACATTACATTTACAATACATTGTTTGATATTGTTTGCTATTCACGCATGCTATAATATGCTATAATTATGACAACGTATGAAAAAGTAGGATTAAGAACCCAGATGCGTTTCACGTCTATGAGCTATACAAATATTGAATGAGTATCCCCTTCTTTCAGGCACAAGATGTCGGGTCGCGACTTGCTGCGATCCCACGGACAGATTCGGGCAGTGAAACTCGCTCTTGACCTATTCTGTCGCACGTTCGTCTTTTTGGCTTCGGGAAGCCGGGAAGCATCGAACTTTGAGCTTGGAGCTGGAACTGTCACGTGCTTTTGTGAATTCAGTGGGCAAAAACGCCCGGAACCGGGATGGAGGAACTAGGAATGGGCACATCTCTATCAGCTCGCATTCACGAGACAAGAATTGGCACGCTCTTTAGTTTCTGACAATGGCTGAGGCAATGCCTGGTAAATCTCAAGAATTGGGCCTGAACAATGAACAAGGTCCTGTCTCATTCCTCCGAAATCGTAACTCTTCTCTCTGTACTAGAAGAAATTTATGTGGCTGCCTGTGGCTCGTTTTGCGTGTCAGCAGTCCCTTCTGAAATCCTGAAATTGGTCTGAATTCATCCGAGAAATGTCTTGGTCTTAGGGACTTCCCCCATCCTGCTACACCCAAACATGTATCAACTTAGATATATAATGATATATATAATATACGGTGTCTTCCACGCTTGAGCCACTGCTGGTCTGCTCAGGATGAACTGCTGGGTCAGTATCCCAAACTATCCCAAACTGCTCACATAACCTGACATTCAAAGAGAAAATTCAAATTAGATTCAATAGATCTAGATTTGGTATCTAGATGTAGTCTTTCCAACACAAAGCGGCTGCTATGATTCTCCTAGAAATGCTATGACTAGACTCTCGTCAGAGAAGTTTCTATGATTATTCTCCTCGCAGCAGTATTCATCCGGCAAGCTGCCCTCCGTCTGATCTTGCGCATGGAAATGTAGGAAGAACATGTCTCATTCACGTTGGATAGTCAAATTGTCAAACTAAATGTGTTAAACAAAAAATATACATTGCACTGCATTGCATTGCATTACCTCATTCCTGCACTGTTTGACGTGTCCGTTTACATTTGCGTTTGCCATTTACATTACATTTACAATACATTGTTTGATATTGTTTGCTATTCACGCATGCTATAATATGCTATAATTATGACAACGTATGAAAAAGTAGGATTAAGAACCCAGATGCGTTTCACGTCTATGAGCTATACAAATATTGAATGAGTATCCCCTTCTTTCAGGCACAAGATGTCGGGTCGCGACTTGCTGCGATCCCACGGACAGATTCGGGCAGTGAAACTCGCTCTTGACCTATTCTGTCGCACGTTCGTCTTTTTGGCTTCGGGAAGCCGGGAAGCATCGAACTTTGAGCTTGGAGCTGGAACTGTCACGTGCTTTTGTGAATTCAGTGGGCAAAAACGCCCGGAACCGGGATGGAGGAACTAGGAATGGGCACATCTCTATCAGCTCGCATTCACGAGACAAGAATTGGCACGCTCTTTAGTTTCTGACAATGGCTGAGGCAATGCCTGGTAAATCTCAAGAATTGGGCCTGAACAATGAACAAGGTCCTGTCTCATTCCTCCGAAATCGTAACTCTTCTCTCTGTACTAGAAGAAATTTATGTGGCTGCCTGTGGCTCGTTTTGCGTGTCAGCAGTCCCTTCTGAAATCCTGAAATTGGTCTGAATTCATCCGAGAAATGTCTTGGTCTTAGGGACTTCCCCCATCCTGCTACACCCAAACATGTATCAACTTAGATATATAATGATATATATATATAATATACGGTGTCTTCCACGCTTGAGCCACTGCTGGTCTGCTCAGGATGAACTGCTGGATCAGTATCCCAAACTATCCCAAACTGCTCACATAACCTGACATTCAAAGAGAAAATTCAAATTAGATTCACTAGATCTAGATTTGGTATCTAGATGTAGTCTTTCCAACACAAAGCGGCTTCTATGATTCTCCTAGAAATGCTATGACTAGACTCTAGTCAAAGAAGCTTCTATGATTATTCTCCTCGCAGCAGTATTCATCCGGCAAGCTGCCCTCCGTCTGATCTTGCGCATGGAAATGTAGGAAGAACATGTCTCATTCAGGTTGGATAGTCAAATTGTCAAACTAAATGTGTTAAACAAAATATATACATTGCATTGCATTGCATTGCATTGCACTACATTACCTCATTCATGCACTGTTTGACGTGTACGTTTACATTTGCTTTTGCCATTTACATTACATTTACAATACATTGTTTGATATTGTTTGCTATTCACGCATGCTATAATATGCTATAATTATGAAAACGTATGAAAAAGTAGGATTAAGGACCCAGATGCGTTTCACGTCTATGAGCTATACAAATATTGAATGAGTATCCCCTTCTTTCAGGCACAAGATGTCGGGTCGCGACTTGCTGCGATCCCACGGACAGATTCGGGCAGGAATTCGTTCTGGACTCCGAAACTGTGGGCATTCAGAGTCATCAGAGTCGAACTATGTGGCTCCATAAATGTAAGTTTAAATTAAATGGAACATCTTCCTAAAATGGATGATTTAGGATGGTTTAGGGGTACCCCATTTTAGGAAACCTTCACGCCGAACTTAGAGTATAAGAGAACTAAGTGCTGACCTGACTGAGCCGTCAGTACGGTGCGTTGATGATGTCGATGCCAATGCGCCCGATGCGGCCGATGCGCCCGATGTGGCCAATCTGGCAGATGTGGATGAATCGATCCCTGTCAGATGCCTTCGGATCAGGCGTTTGGCATAGGAGTCTTTGCGCGCTTCCTGCTGAAGCTCTTGGTGCACTTCGTAGAGACTCTGTGCGGCAAAATGTTGGTTCAGCCGCTTCTTGATGCGTAACCGTGCTTGGCCACGCCGCTGTTTCGCCTCAGGCACGGCAACCTGATCTGCATGGATTGAATGTGAATATTCGCATTCCTCCCCCTTGGCACAACCAGCTGTGTATGAATAGAAGAGGCAGGGATCAAGATAAAGACCAGCTGGAGCTTCCCTTGAAGGTCTGGAATGATGCACAGCTGGCTCAGCAATCTCCATGGCTGAAGACGGAGCTGACTCAACCACTGAATCCTCAAAAGCCACAGCCTTCATCTCCTCGTCTCCAGATTGCCCTGACTGCCCTGACTGGTTCGTTTCTTTGTTGGAGTCCCCGGAGGCATCCCGAAGACACTCATTCACATGTAGAACCCATCCTCTGAGATCACCAAGGTCCAGTGTTTCAATGGCAAAAAGTAAACACCCTACGCAGCCTTGAAAGCCTGTGAAAAGAAAACAACAATCTTTACGTTGGCGTGGAGATCGCAAGAAATTCAAATGTGACGGTGATGGTGGTGATGATGATGATGATGGTGGTGGCGGTGGTGGTGATGGTGATGCTGGTGATGGTGATGCTGATGATGATGATGATGGTGGTGGTGGTGGTGATGGTGGTGGTGGTGGTAATGAGCAGGTAAGCAATTTGTTTTTGCGAGCCAACCAACCCTCAAGTGAAGCATTATCGCATCAAAATCCGACCACCCCCAACCTCTGTCAGAAACAAATCTCAAGCATTCTCAAGGTTTCAAACACTGAAAGACGAAAACAAGAGAGCGTAGAACACCTCACTCTGGTCCTGTCAAGGTTGAACTGCTCGACCCTGACGATGATTGGCTGCACCGTTCTGTAGGGCTTGTTCCGGACATGAACTACCGCTCACCTGACACGGTTGTGGCGAGGCTTTTACCACTGGCCTGAGTAAACATAGATAAACACAAATAAAATAGAATACCCACAATAACATTCCTCTGGAAGCATGGGAATTCTGTCCAACCTTTTCTGTTCCCTCGGGCCCTCGGGGCTGCCCTTTCGACCAAAAGCGTGCTAAAAGCAGCCACGGTACATGTTTTGTGTTTCTGCCATCTCTTCAAATGGCACACTACCTCACTACCTTCCACTGAGCCACAAAGTTTACGGGAGACACAACCTGCAAGATGTCCCATGCAAAGCCGATTCTGATACTTTGCGAAGCTACCATTAGTCAGTCATCACTCCGGTCATGTCACAACTCAAGTTATTGGAGCTCATCCTTGAGGCGAAAGTCCACCATTAAAGTCAGTTGGTGTCAATTGTCCGCCACTTCAAGGATACACATCGGGAGCTCAGCTTCAGTGCAAATCAACTGGAACTCACAACGTCCAACTCAACTTTCATCTGAACGAATTCAAAATTCTTTGCTGTCAAAAACTGGCTAAAAATGCTATGTGTTTTAGCGTTTTTTTTCACACTTTTGCAGTTGCTCAAAAACCTCCATTTTGATCATTTTGGATGCTACGGTATCATCTGCCGGTGGACCATGGTGGACCGACTTATGGCAAGCGGCAAGCGCATGGCTAAGCCCAAGTAATTTGAGAAGAAATTGGACATCAAGTTGCCTCTCAAATAAACAAATATGTTTATTCAAATCTCATGAAATGGCACATTACCTGTTAACCTAAAATGTGTTATTTTTTCAGATATTTCATGATATCAACATATATCGGTAGATGATGATGGGTCTACGCTTTATTTAATTATATGGTTTTATATAATTACATGTTAGATTCTAACAATTTCACACATATATCATGATATCCAATTTCATTTTTCATTTGTTACTTAACCATGCCATGTCACATGTCCCGCCTTCAGGGGTGTCCGTAGAAGCGCTTCCACCGCCGCTTTGTAAATCTCCATAAATCTCCAAAGTCCCTGCCACTTTCTTCCTTAAGCAGTCGGGTTGTGCCATGGCCTAAACTTAGATACCCTACGATGTCACAACATGTCAAAACACCAAGAGTGTATGCTGCTACATGCTGGTACAAGTATGTGTTCAAATGTGTTAAAATTACGTCTATGTATATTCAGTTCAATATACATACAGGCAACATTGGTCCAACAAATGTCCATGAAACTCCGGTAGGCTGACCATTGATTCTCCAAGCCTTACCCAGCAACATTTAACACCAGTCTGTTGATAAGTGGAACAGGGCTCTGGGAGCCACATGGAGACAGAGTGTCGCCGAGGGTATCCCAATTCCAAAGAAATCAAGGCCAATTTGCTTCCAAAATTGCGGCTGGTGAACATCCTAAACATCCGAATGCTATTCTGCTATCCTCTCATCCCCTTCCATTTCATATGATTGTTTCATATTTTTTCTTTTTCAGTATGATGCGACTTCCCCACTTCCAGGCATGCACCATGAACTCAAAACCATCCACTTAGGACCTAGGAAAAAAGGTGGCTTGAGTTGCTCAGCCCAAAAAAATATTTTTTTTGATTCGGGTATGACTTAAATCCTTCAATGTATGGCCCCAACAAAACAAACTGAGTTGCTAGTTGCCACAAAAATCGCCAAGGTGCTTGGAAAGGCCACTGACCTCACCTGGACAGTTGCCAGCTTAAAGTTTCCAATCCAAAATGTTGGGGGGAATCATCTTCATGGAGCCCTGAGATGCCGGCATCTCAACATCCCCATGACATCCTCCAGCCGATCGAATTGCAAAATTGTAGCCGTACGGTGATTTTTTGACACGTTTTGGAGCATTCCCATGAAAAAACGGCTGCAGCTCATTCGGTTTCTGTTATTGGTCCCCTTACAAGTGGAATTGAATTCAATTCGCCAATTTCAAGAGGAATGCTGACAAGATCAAAAGGGCATAAAATTGTACGGACAACACTTTTTTGGACCTCGTTCCATTTCTTTTGGACCTGGGCACTTTTCATGGACCTTACAGCAATTCTTTTAGAGGTGGCTACCCTTCTTTCGAACCTGCGCACCCTCCTGCTGGACCTGCGCACCCTCCTGCTCGACCTGGCCCTTCCCCAAACCACGCCCTCTTTGGATAGATTCTCCAAGCTGCGTCTTGATCGCAATTCTTCAGGGGGCTAGAGCTGCGCTACCATGCAACATGGCAGGAAACATTTCAA